GAGCCGGTACAATTTCTTGAGCTAAGAAAAAGAGAAGTGCAATGTAAGCAGAAAACAGTGTGGTTTCATTAGAGATACAGTTAGAAGACAATGTTATTTCAAAGATAATGAAATAGAAGTGCTGCAGTGCTGCACTGACTTCTTTATTAGTGTTTTCATAAGAAAGTGATTTTGTAATTCTGAGAGAATTTACACAGATTAAAATTATCCGTGTTAACAATCTTATAGCTATTTGGATATACTTGTATCTGTTGACAGGATTAAGCTAGTGTTCTCTGAGAGTGGAATCTATTCTATGCCTTTGTCTTAGAAGGCCTGGAATAATTAATTGATAATTGTTAATTGAATAATTAGTACAGGGATTTTCAAACATTTTTATACTTCAGTGGAGTAGTTATATTGCACACCTTAGCAGAGGTAGTATACACTGAAGGCTTAAATTCTGAAAAGATATATCTTACTTTGTTCTATTTGTTTGAGGATTGCTCTTTTGAATTAGTGGATAAATATAATATCAAGGTATTCTGTACATTTATAAGTCTTATAAGTAACTGTAAAGTCTAATGTCTTCATTATCTTTAGCCTTTGTAGTTAAAAAATATGTATATATTCTACCAACTTCACTCTTGAGAAACACTTAATGTCCTCCAATAAACTGTAACATAGGGCTTTCTGGTTAAGGAACCACATTTTTTCATTTGAACCTTTAAAGTTGGTATACCTGTTACTAAAATACAGTGAAGTCTGATAATGTGTGCCTACTGTGACTGTTAGGACATTTAGCTATTTTTTTACTTATTTGTTGTAACTCCTTTTCTATTATGTATAGTTACTACTTTTTTCTTTTTCTTTCTTTTTTTTTTTATTAAATCATAGCTATGTACTACTTTTTTCTTCATGTTTATATAATTCTTCCATTAGTTGTGCCCGCACTTGGCAGTTTTTCTAAGTGGAATGCCAGTCTGTTTTCTTTTGTTATAAGTGAGAGGAGTGGAGGTGAGATAGAAGATGAGTCATAAGAAAGGCCCATTTCAGCATGTCCTAAGTTCATTAGATCAAGAATACACTGAAATGTGGCCCTCGATGTTTTGACTCCTAACTCCCTTGAAATTTAAGGCAAGAATGGATAAAGAGGAAAATAGAAATGGCAGAATGATGAGGCTTTTTAAATTTGTGTGAAATTACTCACATATATCATGCTGTGCCTCTGCTCCAGTTGAGAATTAGTTAAGATTTAAACAGTCTCAGATTTTCTCCACTGTCCAGGTTATAAGGGGTTAAGCATGCCAAGGCTGGCTCCCGCCTATGGCTCAGACGCCAGCCACATACACCTAAGGTGGTGGGTTCAAATCCAGCCCGGGCCTGCCAAACAAAAATGATGGCTACAACGACAACAAAAATAGCCAGGCGTTATTGTGGGTGCCTGTGGTCCCAGCTACTTGGGAGGCAGAGGCAGGAGACACACTTGAGCCCAGGAGTTGGAGGTTGCTGTGAGCTGTGATGCCATAGCACTCTACCCAGGGGGAT